TCTGGGTTATGATTACCGCCTCTAAACAAAGTCATGTTTTCACCATGTTATTTATTCATTTATAAACTTGTAAAATTCAACTTCTACTTAAAGTGGAACTTACAAATACACGCAAGGGGGTTTCGTCACAGGCCTCAGGGAAAATACGTTACACTGGTTAATTGAGAAATAGAATAAAAAAAAACAACCATCCAATATAAGTTTTGTTGATGTTTAGCAACAATGATTTATTACAGGAACCACCAACTAAGAAATAATAATAGTTAGTTTGATACAGATCAAATAACCCAAAAATCCTTCAAAAATAAGGTTAGTTTCACTTTAATTCACTCAGTCCATGTAAATGTCCAAACTTTCCCGTTCCTTTCTTAATGTGATTATTGTCCACAATCGAGTTCCATATGCGGGGAGAATTTATCCGCTTTAATTCATAGCCCCAATCCAAACGAAATCCAGCTCGTCAACCCCCGCACCCCCCAAAATGAGAAAAAAGAATGTGGTACCACCAAAAAATCCCCAAAAAGAAAAGTAAAGTCCAGATCTCACCGGGAAATCTTTCCTTTCCCTCCCCGGTGGCGTCTTCTCGCACCGTCGGCGTCCTCCGTCAAATTGGCGTCCACTTGCACCCGGCGGCAGTTTCTGAGTACAAGCTCAAAATTAGCTCCGACAGCGCACGATCCGTGGCGCCGGGGCGACTTCTGATTGCTGTTATCTTATTTTCCTTTGATCGATCACTTATCCAAACTTTTAAATCACATCAAGTCTCCCGCTGCACGGACTGACGGTGAGCGTCTTCCTCTCTGATTGCGCCGCCCCGCGCCGACGCACACGCCCCTTTTTATACCCCAAATCTCAGTCACACCTAAAAATCAGCATGACCTGCCCAAAAAATCAGTTTTACAAGTGGAAATATGGAATAATTTTTATACAGAAATAACAGCAACCCTTATCCAAATCTCTGTTACATTTTCTCTTAAATGTATTTTATATAGAAAAAAACAAACATAGTGGTTATGTTACAATCCCCCCCCCCCAGCCGGAGGCAAGGGAGGTTGAACCCCAAAATAAGGCTTTAAATTAACCACATTTACCGTGTCCGTTTCCTGGCACTGGTCTTTCCACTGGAGCTGATAATTTACTGGGCCTAACTGTTTCCTCACTGTAGCTGGTCCTGACCACTTTGGCGCTAGCTTTGCGGAAAAATTATCTATTGCTTTGGAAAGGGGGTGAGACCTTACCCAGACCAAATCTCCCGGCCGGAACTGTGCACCCCTCCTCCGGGCATTATAATATTTGGCTTGTCTGGTTTGACTTATCCCAACTTTCCGTCCGACTTCTTCTTTCATTTCATTGTGTCGCTCCAACAATTTATATACAGTTTGCTGCGGTGATGGTGGTTTGGCTATCATCCTTTCCAATGGCCCTTGAAGTTGACGTCCCAACATTAGCTCTGCAGGGGATTTCCCTGTGGTTTCATGTTGAGCACCGTTGATGGCGAAACGGAACTCCCAGATATGTTGGTCCCATAGATTGTGATGTTGTCCAACAAATGAGGCTATCATTGTTTTGATAGTTCTGTTAGCCCGTTCAGTCAAGTTAGATTGGGGATGGTAGCTGGTGGTGAAATGGTGTTTTACCCCCCACGCAGTACAAAAACTGGACATCTCTTGACTGGTAAACTGGGGCCCCCGATCTGACACCAGGCTTTGTGGAACTCCAAAGCGAGTGAATATCTCCTCCCGGAGGATAGTGATGAGTCTCTGTGTCTTGCTGTCTCTTACAGGAAACATCTCCACCCACTTTGTGAAGTAGTCGATCACGACAAACAGGAAAACATTTCCTTTTTTGCTGCGTGGAAAAGGTCCCATCAAGTCCACCCCAAGTTTTGCCCAGGGTTCAGTTAGAGGAGTGGGTTGCAGAAAGCCAGCTGGAGCTTGATTGTCCGGTTTGTACTTCTGACAAACTGCACAGTTCTTTACATGAGTCCACACATCCTTACGGACTGACGGCCACCATGCAACCTCCAACAGCCGGAGAAGTGTCTTTAGCCTGCCCAGATGTCCACTCAATGGACGATCATGGAAGTACTGGAGAAACTGAGGAACCAAAGACTTGGGAACCACCAGCTGGTATTTCATGCCATCTTTTAGTGGGGTTTTCCTATACCAGAGATCGTGAACTTTGTCGAAGAGGATCCTGTCAGGTCTCTGGTATCTCGGTCCTTGGACCATATCCATGATGTCTGAGTCTTTTTCTTGAGCTTCCTTGATTTCTACTAATGATAGGGGTAAGCCTAACATGGCTTTAGCAGAATTCAGGGCCACATGTGCTGGTCCAGCTGAATCAGTGGGCATCGCTCGGGACAGCGCGTCAGGCACTACATTGTGCATTCCTTTTCTATATCGTACTTCAAAATTGAAGTCTTGCAACCTCAACACCCAGCGCGTTAACCTAGTACTGGTTCTGGGGCAATTGAATGCCCAGGTTAAAGCAGCATGGTCAGTGTAAACGGTGAACTTTGTACCCTCTACAAAATGTCTCCACTTTTCCACGGCCCAAACAACCGCCAAACATTCCTTCTCAGAGGTGGAGTAGTTGTGCTCTGCTCCTTTCAATGATCTTGAAGCAAAAGCAATGACCTTTTCTCCATCAGGGATTGGTTGGACCAGGACAGCCCCCAGACCAACATCACTGGCGTCTGTATGAATTTCGAATGGTAACTCGAAATCTGGCTGCCCCAGTATGGGTGACTCCACCAAAGCTTTCTTCAGCGTCATGAAAGCGCGTTGACAGTCCCCTGTCCACTCCCACCTTGCATCTTTTTTGAGCAGCTGATAAAGAGGCGTAGCTATGTCTGCAAAATGA